AGAGAGAGAGAGAGAGAGAGAGAGAGAGAGAGAGAGAGAGAGAGAGATCTTTAGCATTTCCACTGCTGTTAAAGACAGAGCCAGAGAGAGAGAGTTTTTTTCATTTAATTCAAGCAAGGGAAGTCGCACGTTTAAAGTCACTGCTCCCATATTAAACTGCTGGCCACTGAGCACATCTGCTGTGACAGTTGGTGGCTCAGTGCCTTGCTCAATGACACATCAGTGGTGGCAACACTAAACATTTTCCCACATTAAACATTGAACCCAGTGAGCCGAAGGCTTGCTTCCTGATAACTTCCAGGCTTTCGCTCTGCTAAAAAAACGGGAAATAAAAGTAGAAATAAAAGTGGCCACAGATGGTAACTTTACAGGAGTTTGGAGATGTGGAGGAAAATGCATTAAATCCAAACTTCCACTGTGTGCCAGAGTCAAAGAGTCAAACAGGAGGCTGACCAGCTCTGATGCTCCGGAGCGCCTGTGCGCAACCGAGAAGAGTGCCACCAAATTGAAAACACACGTTTCTCCTTATCATCTCTCAGCCCCTGCATGTCCTCACCAGTTAATAACAATCCATATTAATCAATTCAAATTAAAAAATGTATATAGTTAATCACCACTCGGTAATGATGCTTAAGCATTTCCCCCTTGTGCCAAAAAAGCAGCTGTCAGCGCATTATTACGCACAGAACTAAACCAAAAGTGCTTCAAATTTCAAAAAAGCAGAATAAGAGAATCAAAAAGGGCAAGGGATCTCTTTCCGATCCAAACTGAGAGATGGAAAACGGCTCCCCCGCCAAAACCCAGCCGAGGAAGCTGAGTGGGCCAAATATACATAATAAAAAGAATAAACACAGGACACTATCTATCTACATCACAACCCCAACCGCGCATGAAGTATTTCATGTTAAGGCTCCCCTCTCTCTTAGCCCCGCATCCTCAGGTTAGACATTTAGCACTTCATAATGCACACTCAGCAGTAATGACATTGAAAGTTGCAGAGCTGCATTCGGACTTTCTGGAGAAAAAGAGCGCAGGACGCACAGAAGCGCTGAGAATGAGAACCCATTCATCCGCGCAGAGAAACTCATGCACGATGTCAAGAAAAAAAAAAGTAAATTTAAGCAGTAGGTGGACAATCTCTTGTTATCTGTGGAAAAAGCAAGTCATTAAAACACGCAGGACAGTTGCTCTCTAACTGCATAAAAAAGGATGAAAATCAGAATAAATCCACATTTGTCATGCATTTAAAATCAGTAAAACATTCAAACTGAAACAAGTGGTGTTCCAGTTTAAACTGAGGATGCTCTGTGCAAATGGTGAGCAAGTGAAGGTGATAATATATAGTGTCAAAGGAAAGCAGGTAAGTTACCTTGAAGACATCACATAAATGCCACTGAAAGGAAAGAGCGCTAGACATCCCCACGGGTCCCCGCAAGACAAAGCCCGGCGAAAAGGAACTTGTTTGAAGTCATTAAAAAACGGGGAGAAAGAGATGCGGGCAATGTCATATCTCAATATTCCGACTTTGTTCCATTGCGCAGGCTCGTTTTGGAGAAGTGAGATTTAGCGAACAGGAGACGGATTTAGAGAGAAAATCCCTCACATTTATCTACATTACACAGACATTTTCAACAGGAAACAGCTGGGGCAGCATTTGCCTCCTACTCGTCCTAAGTTATTCATTAAGGATTTTGGGCACATATTCAAATAACGTCATTTCTCTTTTTTTTTTTCTCAGAACGGGATTGAATTTTGATCTCTCTTAAGACGTGGTTAGTAGTTCAGATCAAGACAGAAAAAGCGGTGCTGCCCCACCAGCAGCAGCTCACACTCACGCAGCACACTATTCACTGCGCTGAGAGCTCGGGAAGGAGAAGTTAAAGGCGAGCTGGAGGTTTTGATGTGGCTGCTGGTTGTTGTGCGTAATTTGGCACCGCGTAATTCAACAGCCCTTCTATCCAAAGTCTGATTCGATTAAAGCTGAAATTCATCATTAAAAACAGTTTCCCACTCAGTCACCACTGTGCTACTGACTTGAATACCCAATAAAAACTAAATAAAAAAGCTAAATACATGTGAACTGGAGCGATAGTGATCAAACTGTGGTATTTCGTTAGAGCAAATACAAACCAGAGATAAGCAGAAAAAGCTTAATCGGAAGTCCTGCTCTCTTTAGACTTTGATCTTCTGCAGAATTTACTGCTTTTTCGCACGTTGTCTGTGATTTGATATCAGCAGTCATTGCTCTGGTGTCTGTCTTGAAATTGAGTCAATAAATGCAGCTTTGTCTGTAAATGAGAACACATGATGCTTTCATGATCTGAGTGACTGATGTGAAAAAAATGTGGGAAAAAAAGTGGGAATTTTCTGACGAAGAAGACATTGATTTCATATCTATCAGATTTTTAACCCCCTCCTTGGAGCAAACAGAGACCGGATGCTTTACTGAGGGACTGGCTAACACTTGGTGGCACCCATTGTGCAGAGCCACATGTTAAAGTCAGGGCCCCAGCGGAGTTCCCACTGTGCCACAGAAAAGCACTAATGCCATCCCTGCTGGCATTTCAACACTGATCCAAGCACTAAACATGGGATCAGTGCTGCGACCCAATCATAAAACAGGACACCAGCGTGTATCCCAGCATGCTCGGCCAGTGTGTGTAAGTGCATCACGAGCAAGGTCGGATCCAAAAGGGGGCCAAGGCCGAAAACACGCAACAGTTAAGGTGGTTGGAGTAAAGTGGGTCAAAACGTGAGCACGCTGTCCCCAAATGACACGGACCGCACTAAATCATCAAATCCAGTGCCACATGCCATGTCGCTATCTTCTAAGCTATATTGGTCATCGCTGCGATGACGATTTTTTACACTGGAGATCAAACGATTAGTCAGTTTAGTTCAGTCGGGCTAATCACCAACTATTCTGGTAGATTGTACAAGATTCAAGTTAGATGAAGGGAAAGATGGATTTTGTGTGAACTGCTCACAGTCGTGTGCAACCCGTGATGAGGAGTCGAAGGTCGGCGATGGTTCATTTTTAAAAGTATTTCTTCAGTGAAAGAAGAGCGAAGAACGGTACGGAAGGCTTTTTAAATAGAAAAGATGTTTTGCTCTTCTACTGACTGGTTTCAGCAAGAGTTTGATTGACAAATTGTTCACCCAATCACCGTCCAAGTCTTTTTGTCAAACAAACACAGGACTTTCACCCAGGATGCTGTTAGTCTGTCCCATTTGAAACCAAAAGTAAACGTTGACTTTACGCTTGTTTCTTAAGAAAATCCCCGAAGGGCGTTTTTGTTACATAACCCTAACCATCCTTATACAATGATAACATGCTTTTCTGCAAGCCTGATATGAGGTTGATATGAAATGTATTTATGAAGCCCGTTTAGGGTTCAGAGAGGTCGACGCCTCCCGTGGTTTGCGGAAACGTACAATGCCAACATTTCTTTTGGCAACTGGGTTGATCTGTTTACAGTGCAGCCAAACAACGAATGTTGTTTTAATAAAGAAGTCAGTCAATAACAATCGTTATCTGATTTCATGCTGCACACCGTACACGTAGTTGTCCACACAACAGCAGAGGAGTGCAGCTTATCTCCTGCACAATTTAAAACTAATCGATTGATGAATTAATGCAGATAATGGTCGCTGTCACATCTTTGATCAGTGACATTGGTTAGCACTGAATGCAATGAATACATTCCCTTTTTCAGTGGCTGCTTCAGAATGAAAGCCAGCCCATGTTTCACCATAATGTGAAGCAGCAGCAGATTAATCGATGATGAAAATGCCGCTCCACTTTACACTACAAAATGACTAAATCAATCATGTATTTTTTAAGCAAAAATGCCAAATGTTGAATTCGTCATATATGATGTTAACCTGAATATCTTTGGGTTTTTGGGATTTTTGGTCATTGTAATTGAGCAAATAATTCACAGATGAATCGATAACGAGAGTAACTGTAGTTGCAGCCTTGCTTTACACCATCACATTTATACAAAATGCGGCGCACCAAATAACAAATCTGCATTCAACATCTCAGCTCCTCGTCAATCTGTGAGCAGACTTTTCTTCCTCTCAGTGCTGCTGGAGACCAGCGTCTCCGTTTGCCTCCCCTGGCGGATTGCGTCACCGCTGAGAGCTGCTGATACATCGTGGAATATGATGATGGTGATGCTCCTCTGATTAGAAGGGCAAAGCTGCTTTGAGACCAGAGGATGACCTTGTTAGCATCAGATCAGGGACGTATAGCCGGTCACTGATGCCCATAAGCCTCTCTGTCAGTAGCTCATCTTGGATGTGAAATGATCTCATCTTTCACTGACTCTTGACTAAAAGAAGAAGAAGAAAAAAACACAATCTAGCATGTAAATGCTTCATCACAGACTGTCCTGTTATCACTGTGGTCTAGCAGTATTGATGATGGGCTGCACATCTGCTGATGCAGTAGTAGGAGGAAGAGGAAGAAGAAAAAGGGGGGGGGGGGCTGACCTTCCCTTGTTCGCTGTCTCTAATACCCAGTGCTCTGTAATGTCTTGGTGCCAGGTTTCTCTCCCTCCCTCCCTCCCTCCATCTCTCTTTTCTCTTCGGTTGCAAGACTTTTGAACCCCCCAACCACCACCACCACCTCCCCCTCCTCACCCCCCCTGCAGCCTTGTCTAAGGAGACGTCCGCCCCTTTGAACTCATTGACCAGGGAAAGACTTGTTTTTACTCCGTTCTGGTGAAGGAAGGAGAAAGTGTTCACTGCAAAAAATGTGCATCTTGATGAAGAGTGTGTTTTAAAAATCACACGTTTTCTCCTGAAAAAGTGTTTAAAAATGATGCACCAGGATAGTTAAACAAACTTACAATGCTTTGCCCACTTTTTAAAGGTTGCTCTCTTGAATCTATTTATTTTATTAATAGCTGAGGGATCTGCCTTGTTAAGTTGAAAAGAAAATAAAATGTATGCAACAGATTTGGCAACAAGCAGAGTTATTTCCCCCCGTTTGGAGGAATCTTTATACGTTAACGAAAAGCAATAGCCTTTGCAAAAACAGACACTTTTTGCAGTGTTAACAGCATCCCGTCTGGTTCCTCCTGCCAAGCAAATGTCAGAGTCAGAGGGAGACACAGATACAGACAGCGGTGCAGAATGCAAATGAATGCGAGTAGATGAAAGTGAGATGACGGAGGAAGAATTAGAGTGGATGAAAAACTAGATAAACACGGCGTGAACACGTCGAGGGAGGACGGAGGGCTGCGTGTGGGGGACTGCAGGGCTGGTACTCGAGATGGGAGGGAATGTGTGAGGCTGGGGATGGGTCTGGGCACACACACAGGTTCACTTGAGGACACACATGCAAGCGCATGCACGTACACCCACTTGATTAGTACAGCAATCCTCTATTCTCTTCATTAGCCTGCAGGGGGTTTTCCAGCTCAATGGGTTCTGTGTTATATTTCCTTTTTTATCAATTGACTAAAACAAAAGGAAAACGCTTTGCAAAAACAATGAAAGTATCTATTCCAAGTGATTGTCAGGGTATTTCTTCTGTGTGTGATACTTTACCAGGCTTGGTGGTTGAACACGGTGTAGTGCAGCCACTGCTGTACAATTCAAGTCAGATAATCAAAGCCTGCGGCTGTGCATTCACTGTTCATATGGAAGAAATAAAGGTGCGTCATGGAGCAAAAGCAAGACATGGGGCGCTTGTTATTGATACGCTATGTTTCCGTAGTAACTCGCAGGGGTTACAGTGTTTTGGCAAAAAAATTCCGTGGTGCCTGTTGATGATCAAAAACTATTTTCAAAAATATCTCTGGGACATTTTAATTGCTTGTGATCGCTGAACATGCTGGAATTGGCAGGATTTTCAATAAATCACATCAGTTTCTCAGGAAACCAAACGTGGAGGCTGCACTGGTTGTTCTTTACTGAACGTTTCTGTGATTGTGCCTTATTCTGCATAGCTGGAGTTCGACAAAATATGAATTTTAGTCTCCAGTAGCTGATTCATTGAAGTCTAGACAATGCCAATCAGTTAAAGCTGCATCGATCGATACCTTTGTACAAACAATGGATCAAATGACTGCAGTGCAACATAAAAGAAGTTGATTATAGTGACAAAACCACAGAGAATTATCGCTCAACAGGCAGCTGTTTTTAGCAAAAAAAACTCAGATAAACCGAGTGTACCTGCTCAGCACCAAACAGCAAAGTTAGCGACTAGCAGGAGTACATAGTGGAGCATGTAACAGCTAAAGAGACAGATATTTCCCTCTGGAGATGGTGGAGCCCAAAAACAGAGCAAAAATGAGACAGAATATTACATTCACCTGGTCCACCCAAACTACATATGAATGACATCGTTCCTCCGTAACGGTTGGATGTGAGAACTAACAACCGTTTCCTTTTAAAGTTCACGTACCAACTTATAAGGTGTCAAAACAACAACGTATCCTCATACAGTGGTTCGTATGATATCTTATTCCTCATTTTTTTAAAGAAAGTCCAGCAAAACATGTCAATTTCTGCTTGTAACGTGCATACATCGTAATGTGCATACATCGTAATGTGCATACATCGTAACGTGCATACATCGTAACGTGCATACATGGTAA